TCCGTCCTTGTGGGGCAGAGGCGTCGCTGAGCGCGTGACATCATTCCTTCCGATTTGGTATACAGTCAAGCAACATGGTTTCAAGGTGAACCTTTCACGGCCTCTGGAAGCCCGACCCTGAATAAACGCCACTGGAAAGAGACCACATGTGAATAATGGATATGAAACAAACCGACTGAGATTAAGCCGACTCCGCACGTGACATCTGAAAACCAGTCCTACATGAGAAAGCTCGAGCTTGCATGAAACCGACAGTCTCGTTTGCGGCTGTACTGGGGCAGTCACGTGGCAGACGTTACAGGTCGGAACTGGCGTGCAAAAAGGACGCGGTCGTGTCAAGGCCCTATAACAACTGGTTAAGCGGCATAGTTATGCCTTAACATACTAGAACTCAAATTGATACCGGCATGGCGATCCCATATTCAGTGATTGCAGCAATAATGCAACTCAAACGACATTTGCTAAGTATATAATAAATGGCCTAGGGTTATAACCTGTGGAAACAAATTTGTAGATAAGCATCTCGATAGTCCAGAATGCGACTAAATCTGGCAATGTTACAGTTCTGGTGCTCCGGGGACTTAACAAAACTCCACCGGCTCTGCTGGCAGAATGCAGGACAGCACAGGCATTTCACGCCATTGATAACTCATCATTCCCGGTCAACATTTGTGGACGAGCATAAGCGTACAAGTGTATTAGAAACACACTACAAATGAACTATATCACCGCTGTCATCAAACATTAGGGGTGAGTGCTTTCCAATGTCTTGGTTGCCTACGTATCACTCTCGGGAGCAGTCTCATAGCGTTGAAAGTAAACGCTGCACGGCGCTGCCGAGCATCGTTATGTTGAGTCATTTTTCTTTTGCATGCGAGGTAGTATCGACAATGAGTATATGAGCAATGAGTATATGAGCAATGAGTATATGAGCAGCAAAACAATGAGTATAGTGTCGCTTCTTATCCATGAGATGTTAAAGACCCATACTATCTTCAAGCAAGTGTCGAGTTGCGTTAAACAAAGAGTCCTAGTGCCTTGTAGTTTTTGCACGAAAACGCGTTGACATTCAACGTTCATCCAACGTGCATGACCATGTGTTGCGGCGCTTCCGGACTTTGACATTTTCTGTTGGTCGAGCTACCAGCCGCGGAACGCACGGCCATGACGTCACTGATAATCCTCACCGACCGAGCCCATTGCCGCGAAGCTTTGCTCATCTATTGCCGCAGACCGCCTGGAGCGCCTATATCAACACTGCTCGATTATTCTCCGCTGCCGCCACCGTGGAAAGGCACCATATAGCTGAGATTGCATGAACACACAGTTTTGATCGGCTCGGTCTGTCCTTGAAAGCAGGTATATTTTGAAAGCAGGTATATTTTATGGCGAAAGCACCGAGTGATCTCATTCATGTTCCAGCCCGACTCGCAATCCAGAGACGCTTTGCGTTCATTTATTGATGTGAAAAATAACGAGTTGCATGCCATTAGGCTCACATTACATTCGCTTACCTTAGCGATGCGCTTAAATACTTTACCCTCAATTACGTTTAGATGGCTTCGCTTAATTATGCTTGGATAGTTTGGCACTTTATTAGGCCTAGCTAGTTTTGCACTTAATACGCTTGCATAGCTTTGCATTACGAGGCTTACATTAGCACACTTCCACGAATGACTTGAATACGTCGCCGATCATTCACAAGAACTACTGCCCCTCCCACTGTGGCCCACATGACGGTCAACCGGCGGTGCCATAGACGGAGCGACCGTCTCGAATCCCCTCCAGTTCTGGTGTTCCAGCCAGCACCCGGTCAGCGACTGGTCAGCTCGGAGAACAGTATGAGCGCTTTGCAGTTGTGGGCGTGGCTCATAATGGGCTGAACTCTGGGCTTGTTATACTCGTGCCAATCTCCCAAATGCCGTTATAGTGGGCTGTGTAGTGGCCCGAGTAAGTCACGCCAGAGTGGCTGGTCACGCCGCACAGGCTGTACTTGCAGGCTCCCAGTCCGGCAGAGCGAGGCGATAGGTCCAGTCCACCCGCGAAGAAGCCCACAATGGTGTTGGGCTTGTCTCTGTGTCGTTTCTGCTGCGGCGAAGACCGTTTTAAGTGCACCGTAAGCATACGTGTTAACTTCTGAGTACACAAGTTCTTAAAGTGCTTTTCGCACTTTTGCAACTTGCGCACATTGGTTTTTCGTCTCCTTCAATCACATCTTCCTTGATGAAAAAGTCGAAGCGGGTCTGATATTGTGTCTGCTGCCTCTTGGGCAGGATTGGCAAGCTCAGGTCCCAGAACATGTCGAACGTCACGGACTCGTGGTCACACAGCGTTTGCAGCAGAGCGAAGTTGAGCTGTCCGATGAAAAGAGTCCCTTTCGGAGTTCTTCAGGAACACGAAACGCTTCCAGGCCTCCATCCACTTCTGGCTGGCCCTGGGCCTGTCGTCGACGTCGGTGGTGACGGGCCTCGGTTGCTTGGTGACGCGGCTTACGTCCTCGTGCAAGCCCCCAGGATATATTTGAGAAACTCAGGCGCATGCTGTTGCACGCAGTTCGCGGCCCATGAATTGGGCCGCGAACCGCGGAAACTGTTTCTCCAACGAGGCAGTGGTCAGCGCCCGGTCGGCCTCCACTGAACTCTTCCACAGGTCGCACATTAGCGTGGCGAACGTTTTGATGAGTGCGCCCCTCATGGCGGGGACGGTTGTGATGATGTCTCCTCGAGTACCCGTCGCGCAGGATATAGTCGTGCAGGGCGCGGGGTCCGCTCAGACACTGCAGCACCGCGTTGATAGGTCTCGCATTGCTGACGTTCTGGAGTCCCGTAGGGCTGAGTGGCCCTGCAGCCGACTGAGCTCTACCATCGCCACCTTCGCTCGAGCTCATGGCCCACGTGCAGCTCGACGGGCAGAGGCCGGGCTGAGCTGGCGGTCGGGTGAAGCCGTTCCCCTTTCCGCTGTCTAACCCGCACCCCCTCCGCTTGTTGCGCCCCCCCCCCCTCAGCTATTTGTTGGACCTGTTCAGCTCGGCTTGCCGCTCCTAAAGGCGACGCTTTGGCTTTGGCCCCTCCTGGCCGTCGTGCAGATCTGGGAGAAGGCGGCAGTCCTTCACAGACTGTGAGGAAGTCTCACAGGGTCAGTGGGCGACGAGTATGGCGGCCCAGCAAGCCGGCTTATTATCTTATTAGAAGCTATTGGGCCCCACACGGTCTGCGCTTCATTATGATGTCCTATTCAGTACTGGTGGATGCAGTCAATGAGCGGAAAGTAGGCATTTGTGATTTTTGCCTCGGTTCTTTCCAAGAAACACAATAGGTCGTGCAGGTAAAGTAACCAAGCAGGTTAAGTAATCAAGTGCCTCCAAATTTGGTAGTTTCCATCCGGATAATTTCTAGCAGGTGGCAGAAATACACTAACAAATTAACTATATCAGTGTTGTGCTCATACATCAGTGATGACTATTTTCCCAATGTCCATCAGGGTAGTGTATTTTACAGATCCGCCAACCAAGATCAGATTACAGATTACAAGATCAGATTACAGATTGTCAACCAAGATCCGCTCAATATACTTAGCAAAATAAGATACCAAATAATTGCGTTTATTTCTAGTCGTGGAAATAGTGTTCTGTCTCAACACCGTGCGACGGACGCGATCAGCGTGCTAAGCAGAGTTTTATATCGTCGTGCCCTATGACATCGGTGGCTTTTAATACTGCTGCCGTGGTTGTTAACTGGGCTCTAAGCAAGACCGTGAGTACCGGTGTGTAAGCTGCCGCTGCTTGTGCTGGTGGCGTGAGGAGCTCACCGGCTTGAAGGGCGTGACTAATCGTTGGTTTCTTTAGGGTGCTGTACGGCTCCTCTCGTGACCTATCATGGGGGGCCTTCATGGTAGGAGCGTTGCAAACCTTGTTAATCTAGAAGGCTCGTCGTTTATGGATAACCGAACAGCAGCTTCAGAGGCCAACGGGGGACGTTGACGCGACAGATGCTAAGGATTTATACGGAGCTTTCTGCGGCTGATAACTGAAGAACAACGACTGTGAGGTGGAAATACGCTGATTTAACTGGTGCAGGAGTGCTAGAGGTGTACACCCAAAGGCATGATCTTGTTCTTATTTGCGTGCGATATTAGTCTCAGGTGATTGGCAAACCAGGTTTATCGGTAGATGTTTGACTTTTGGGAAGCAGCTTTGCAAAATGCATAGGTTAGGCTCCGCAAAGAAAAACGACTTAATCTAACTTGTAAAAACTAGCCGGTTAACGGCTTTTTTCTCCCTGGATTTGGCCCTCTTTTTTTCAAAGCTTCGGAGGCTGGATGGAGCCCCAGTTGGGGGTATGGCGGCCCCCACGTGGGTGGGGGCTCTACACTACACTACACCTAGTGTGGTCCCCACCCACGAACAGCTACATTACGCTACGACTAAACTCTTGTTTGAGAGACACCATTCCCGAACTGAATGGGGAACTGCACCCGCGTGGGACCATTCACTCTGAGTATGCTGTTAGCTAGCAATTACAATTTGTACGCGGTTAATCATATTTCAAAACACATTGCAAAGGTTTCCAATAGATTAGGCGTCAGGTGACAAGTTAGGCAATCTTCAAAATATCGTCAGTGACAGAAAAGGAACTTTTCACCCTTGGGTGTAAAACTGCTGACTTCAAGGAATGAGAGCTTAAGAGTAAATGCATGCACATGCATGTGAAGATTGTAAACAGTGCAGGTGTATGTGGAGTGACAGTCCGTTCGCGTAGAAGTAAAATTTCTCGGTTGGCTATTCGGAGTCCAAGAACACTTTGGACGCGCGGACACATATGTTATGGGTGTTAATCAGAAGTAGAGGCCACTTTGGCTATCACGCGCCATACATGACAAACGTCAGCACATGCCATGGCATTTGACGTCGGTCTATTTTGGGTGACAGAACGAAACACTTGCCACATATTTTGGTCATAAATAGCCAGCAGCCCCTCCCTGTCATTTCCACCGTCTCTATTTCAGCGCTGTTCTGGTATGAGCTTGTACGGCTTGGGACTGCGAAGGATCGTGCATTTCAAATCTACGCCCAAGTCGTGCATGAACCCCTCTGGCCAGCGGAAGGTAAAGTTCTGCATGAAGCAGGTAAGAAAAAGAAACAGCTCTGTTCGCGCCATGCCTTCGCCCATGCACTGTCGCTTGCCCACTGAGAACGGCATGACGTTCTTGTCCGGCTGGAACTTGCCGTCGGCGTCCAGGAAACGCTCGGGTCGGAACTGCAGCGGCCCTGGGAACAGCCGCTCGCTGTGGTGCACGCTGTGCACGTTAGCCACGACCTGGACACCGGCCGGCAGCCGGTGTCGCCCGACGTCAACAGGCGCCAGCGACTGGTGCATCAGCAGCAGGGGCGCGATGTCAGCTAGTCGCAGCGTCTCCAGCAGCACGGCCTCGACGTACGGAAGACGTGACCTGTCCGAGAGGGACGGCAGCCGCTGCCGGCCCACCTGGTCGTCCAGCTCGGCCTGCAGACGCCGCTGTACCTCCGGATGGTTACACAGCAGGCAGAAGGCCCAGCGCAGCGTTGTGGCCGTCGTCTCATTGCCGGCGATGAAAAGGTCCATCACTGACATGAGGAGGTGCCAGTCGGTCAACAGGTCTGGTCGTTTCTGCTGCTCCTGAAGCATGGCCTCCATGTAGTCGCGAGGCTCGCTGGACACGTCAAGATCGTCCCGATGTTTCTTGATAGAGGGCATGAACGTATCTTCAACTATGCTCTCAAATTCGATCTCAACATTTCTCTTGTTAAAGACAAAGCTTGGCAGCACGTCGCTAAGCCATGGAACCACATCAAGAATTACTAAGCCCTGGGCAAACTCGAGGATTTCTGAAAGCTTGGTGACGGTGTCCAGGACCTTGGAGTCCGTGAGGCTTAGCTCCTCCGACGCGACCAACTTCCAGAGGATGTTTATCACGGCGACGTTTAGAGACGTGCCAAGGGCAAGCTCAGATCCGCAATTCGGCACCAGAATCTCATCCATGTAGCTGGTGATCTGGTAATGCATGTACTCTTCCAGCTTGGACTTGCCCATCCCCAAGTTCCGCAGGTGACGAAGTGTGAGACGTCTAGACTCTTGCCATAGCTCACCCTGTGAAGAAGCAAGCCCCGTTCCTCTCACTACGAACTGGAGCAATTCAATGTCTGGTCGACCGTTGAGCTCAGGTCGGCTGAAGGCTTCTCGGATCACCTCGGGGTCGCTTATGACGACCTGGTGCATGACGCCAATCTTGACATGATAGATAGCACCATACGCCATGGCCCAATCAGCATAGGTGCGGTAGTGGTAGGCGTGCTTCAAGCCCATGGAGAAGAGATTTCCCACCCATGGCATCAGTGGAGGTCCTGTAAATGAGAGAAACTGTTGGCTGAAGAGGTAGACATCGCAAATGCATTGCTATGTTAATAACTCCACTCAGTCGTTTGAATTTCAATGACATGCTTACAATAACTACATACGTGATCGTCGTTAAGTAAAGCCTATTTTGAAAAAAAAACTTTTGGTCATGGGCCTTGCTTACAGATTCGAAAAGTACAGATCTAAAACGGGTAGAATTTACCAGTCAGCGTCAACAGTGCTTTTTCCATGAGTTTTAACTTCTGTTTGAATCGTTGTATCTGCTGGTGGATTTGATGATTGTGATCTCGTCAGTGCTGATGTCGATGTTGACGTGGATGTTGTTGTTGATTTTGATGATGATCTTCCCGCTGCTGTTGTTATTCTTGGCGCTGCTTCTCCAGTCGATGTTGCTGTTTGGGTTCTCTATGAGGGCGACATAAAGTCGTTTGAAGCAGCCGTCTGCTCTGAACACGGTTTTTTACATGGCCGTTTGATATAAAAGTAACATATGAGTATAATCTCAATGTTCGTATAGCATGGCAAACCTCAATACTTTGAAAATCATTGCTGTTTGGTTGGCTTTTCCAACAACATGTATGCCCATCAAGGATGCGAATTTGTAACGCTACCAACTTCCACGGAACGCCATAGTCTTTAGCATCGATATCGTCAACCTGTGTGGCAGCATCCCGCTGGTGGAGGCTGCATCAACGGCCTCTGACCTAATTTGGCAGCACCAGAACGACTTGATATTTGTGGTGTTACACCTGTCGACATTACATGACTTCTTACCCGCTGTCTCGAAAATAAGGCCATCAGATTTGACAAAGACCACTACAAACAGCAACTCGGCATCATCATAGGCGACAAGGTGGTACCTATCGTTGCAATAAGATCTATGCACAAATTTGAACAACTGCCACTAATAACGCGGACCTACAACCTGATTTTTACGCCTGATTTATGGACGATTCCATAGGGGCTCGGACTCACTCTCACAATACGCTGTTGGACGTCATCAGATTCCTTAATTCTATTCATAACAGCATCGGTTTTCTCTTAGAAGATACCCATACGTCTGGGCAGCTTGCATTATGCATTATTAGACGGCTTGCTTGCATTCTGTGTCGACAAAAAAGCTATCATCCGTTCAGAGTTCCGACGTGCCATGAGAATGTCATTTATGCTGCTGCAAATGACCGCCCGTGTCAAACAACCTGTGCGAAGCAAACAGTTACGCTGAATAACTAACACATCGCCTTCATCGAGATGCTGCACAACAACATCGATTGGAGAAGCAGCGCCGATAGAAACAATAGCAACGGGAACGTTATTACCAACATTCAGAAAAAAGAAACGTCAAAATCAACAGGAACATCAACATCAGCGTGTAGCTCAACCAGCGACCTTCACAGCGCGAGGCCGATTGCAAAAACGAGCTTGAATTTCTGCTCCATTCAGAGCTGTCTGAGGTGTCATGTTTGTACCTCCTTTTCGGCAGCACAGTGTTAGAACAGTAGGAGCCAAAAGGATTGGTAATCAGCTATGGGGATAATCTATGCAGCTATGGGGATAATAATATGGGGATATGGGGTAATCAGCTATACCTTAGGGACACAGTCAACGTAGCCTTCCAATTTTATGTATTTCTATGCGCCAAAGTTACAATACAGAATTCTTAGTCACCTCCATTTCAAAGGGCGAGTATAAGGGTCAGATTCTCCATTATGGCGGGCTAGCCTCATGTTACCTCATGCCTTCTCAATATAGCGTGGCCCAGCAAAATATTGGGGTGTGGGGCGCACTAACATTACGGGGGGGGGGAGGGCGTGGCCCCAAAGCTCACTCATATTGAGGCCCTTTCTTTTGGTTTCAATGGAATATTCTATCTCTATTATCCTGGGCCTCCTATCGGCGCGGGCATGTATCTCAGAAGCTAGAGAGGTTTAGGTCAGGGCTCCGAACAGCACCGAATGATTTTCAAGATGGCTATTTCAGCAGGGCAACCAGATCATTTGTTTCTGGGCAGATGACAGGTGGGTGGACACCTTCTCTCCCAAATGGTGACGCAGGCTCTGGTTCCAATACAACAGCAAAAAGCACGGAACCGCGCACTTCATCTAATATCAATATTGTGTGATGGAATTGCCTACCGGCTCACGAACCCTCCGTATTTTCGGTAATATTCCCGGATGTTTCACAAATCGGCGGTTTGATGCAACGCTATTGCCGATCGTCGAATAAGATATTATGCTGCCAAGCATTCTGATTCTGCTGACAGTTTAGCAATTTTTCCCCAATGCTGGCAACTATAGACGAGAGGGTGTCACGCCTAACGCAAAAGAGCGTTTTTAACCGAGTCTTTCACAGACATGGAAACATGTCAAAAATGTCATTCCAGCTTCCACTGCCATCCACTGGGAAATTTTTGATAGTATGATAGCACGACAATACTAGAACATTACTCGGCGTATTACCTTGCTAGAGGATCGTCAGATTCTTGCGGGCCAGCAGCGCCGTGTTCGCTTCTGACTGACACCAGTCGTGATTGTATACTTTTCTTGTCCCAAATGTGGTATTCTGGTCCATGTGACCGTGCACAAGTAAGTCAGTAAAGGAGTGGAATTTTGCACGTGTCATTTCCGTGCGTGTGCACATGGAAGCATTCCCGCTATTGCAGAAGCCATTCCCGCATGTATGCTAGTTGGTGCATGCACTCTAAATTGGAGTAAGGGGAGAGTTCCACATTTGTATGGAGTTTTGAACTGAAGATGACATCTTGAAGATCATTCGGTACAGTTCACAGCCCTGCCTTCTTAAGCCGTGCTTAGCTCTAGTAGCGTAACTCAAGGGTGAATTACAACGTCAGCGTCTCAAAATATTCGGAAGTTGGCCCCATTTTGGCTTAGCAGGATAGCAGGCTTAGCTGCTTTGGCTTAGCTGCTTTCGATAGCAGGATAACCGCCGTAAATTCTAACACAAGTTCTCTATTTTATGCCATGTTTTTGTGCCATTGATTCATATTCATTTGGCGTGTTGTTTCACTTATTTGGTGATAACTCAGCACATCTTGTGCGAGTGTGCGCTCTAGACATCAGCTTCCTGAATTTGGTGACTAAAGCAGGCATTACGGTGAAAAGCTTTGGTAAATCGGTGAAGAAAACGTTCATATTTTTAACACTGAGATAATCGGTGACGGAATGTTCCCTTTCGTTATGATTCACCTGACTTGGGGATAAGTGTGTATTTTGATTACTTCAACTTTGCTTTGGTTATCGGTTAACTGGGAGCCGATTTCCATTACCTCAGTCAAAGCTGTGTAAACAAAACAAATGGTAAAGTAAATCAGTTTAAGCTGGGTTAGATACCTGTTTTTTGTACCAAGCCGGTGTTGCATGTCAGAAAATTCGCTTGTTATCTTAGGATATACTTTTCTTTAAGTGCATACGTGTTCAGTCTACAGAGTATATCATGTGAGTAATCGAAAAATATACTTACCAATGAGTATGATTACTAATTCGTTGGAAATTGTTCTGCCGAGCGGAGTGAGTTGGAACTTGAGTTATTGGGTCGCCGTGTTTCCAGAACGTCAAAAATGACTGCCGTAAAAAACGTAATGTAAGTGCAGAGGACTTCTTGCAAAACTTCCAAGAATATACGCGCATTCCTTTACGTGTGCAAATATTTCTGGTTTTGACCTACGCAATGATTCTACAGACGCCTGTTAATTGTGCGTAGCGTCATCCAAGCGGAACACAAACGCAGAAGTGAACATGGCAAGTATTCCACCTCGCAAGCTGTTAGGCGGATGGTGCGTTGACTCACCGTGTGGACTCCAGGCTGGTCGCTTGGTCGACCTCCAGGCCGACAGCAGGACAGCTACCAGGACGATCACCAGCCAGAGGTACATCTTCTCGACTGCAATCGATGGGGTGTCTCCAGCGCAGCATAAACACTGAACTGCACCGCCATATTGTCGCCAGGTGCGACCCCGCCCAGTCACGCAAACACGCATGCGCTTGTGGATGTCACGGTTGTTGTCACGGTTGTTGAGCACTTCTAGGCACGGAGGCTGTAACCCAGTACGTTATCCCTGCAGAGTTAACCAAAGTTTTGCTTGCATTGTATTATGTCTGCACCACTGGTACTCATTTCATCGTCCTATACACAACATAGCAGGGATTCCCTAACAGAGCAGGTAGCTTCCTCATCAAGCTTAAAGGGAGTACCCTACATCTGTATCAGATCTTGATCTGAGGTGTACGTTTTGAAGATAACCGAATGCCGTTTGTAAATCTCATTTGAAGAATAAACATCGTTTTGTTTCTGAGCTTGACACCGGCAAGCTTCTGCGGATTACCTCGTTGAGACTGTCAAGGTCACCCAGGCATGCATGGCGCAATAAAATCATGTGAACACCGCCACTCCGCTGTTTCCTGCTTATTGTCAAGAAGAGCATGGCCACATTCGTATAAGCGATGACACAGCACAAATGATCTAAAAAACGGAAGGTTTTTGACTAGTACCAATATTCGCATGTTTCATTATGAGCATGTCTGGCGTATCCCTAACTTCGCGGTAATAATTTCAGCGCATGCTCGCCCCAAATTCGAGCGCTCAGAGTTTGGCGAACGGTCGCCATCATTTTCTGCGCGTAGAGAGCCTAAGTTTTAAGGAATGATTATGTTTAAAGGGAGTGCTCCATATCTGCGCGGGATTTTGAGCTGAAACAGTCCTGTTGAATATCATTCGGTGCAGTTCTTAAGATCAGGTCGGATCAGCTTTGCACTTCTTAAGGTCTAAACCTCTCCAGTTTACTGGCTACTTGACCGCGGAGATGTGCAGACTACATCGAGGGGACTATTTTAAGGTCACCCAGGCATTCATAAAGCCATGGTAACGTCATTTCAATAATGCCATTCCATCAGCCATGCGGCGATCGAAGCTATGACGAATATAATTGTTCAGTAGTTCATATCTGACGTTAGCGAGCACGATTTCCAAATATAGCACTCGGCAATTGGCTCTCAATCAATGTTGTGCGAGGTACAATGACGTAGTAAAAAAGGACGTACTGAAGAGCACATTTACTTAACAGAAAAGCTGTGTTGTCTAGAGCAGTCATTTTTACTTAGTACACCAATAGTTAGAAGTGAACTTATGACGTTATATCTGATGCTTGTCTCAATGTTTCTAAGTGTGGACAATTCCTTTTAAAGTGAGCGCTCCACATTTACATGAGACTTCAAACAATTCCACCGTTCGGCAGTTTTGAAGGTCACTCGGTGCAGTTCATAGCCCTGGCCTTCTTCGGGCCTAAAACCCTCTATACACCTCCAAAGATGGCGCCATCCCAGCGTCATTCAAATTCTGCCACCTCATAGGCCTCGCGGCGTTTAAGGCCACGAAAAATATCATCGTCGACCCGTTCACATTTGGCGTCCGTGAGCTCCATTTCGAAATAAATTGGCCGTCAATTGGCGGTCAATAGTTCTGGCCGTCAATCAATGTTGAGAACAATGCAAGTTTCAATTACGGATCACGTTTTGCGCTACTGGACACAACAAGCTGGACGTGGTTAGAAGTTATTACGGAAATAGGACTTGCAATATAATAACTAATAACAGCGCCATAACTGAATATGTTTATGTGAGTAAAGTTCTTAAACTCACAAATGAATATACAAGAACATCGCGAGAAGGGGCCAAAACACGAGCACACAACGGTTTCTGGCTGGGCTAAACGCTTCCAGCTGCCAGTTGCCATCGCTCGGCGGGTTTAGAGTGCCACGAGCGGGTGCCAGGCTGGCAGTTTTGCACGGCTGGTTTGGCAGAACCACAAAGTCATTGAAACGTTGCTTAATACAACAATGTCTTATTCCTCGAAGAAAAACGAGGAAAATGAAAAGATAGATGAGTTGATATTTCGTTAACGCGCCTTTACCATGCATGCCTTAGCATGCGTCTATCTCTCCATTGCTCTGTTATTTTTCTAAGATGAACTGGGCTGTTACTACTGTCTTATCTATATGCATATGGGTTTCGCAAATGCACTTCGCAAATGCACTTCGCAAATGCAAATACATCGTTCCTCGCAAATGCACTTTACACCTCATGTTTGAATGATAATGAAGCATTAATGTAGTGTGAACAGCTGGCACGCACCTGAGCTGGGTTAAAGTATGTCATCAACCAGCCCAATGCCTCGCACCCAGATGTTCCCTGCCATACAGGTGTCTGCAGTACATGCGTGGGCAGGTCAGCTGCAGGTCAGCTGCGGGTCGAGTGACTAAGCAGTGGACACGACGGCTTTGGCCCTGCTTCCGCCCAGTTATGCTGATGACCCAAGATATCTGTGTATTACATCAAGGTGACCCAAACCTGGAAACCTTGAAAAGCAAAAGGCACAAAACATTGCTGTTGTAAGTTCAACAATTCGCCAAAGTAACACTTCTCTGCACCCAAATGCACCAGGCAGCATCACTACCAGCACAAAGACTCACCATCTGTTCTTGCTCAAACAGGGCTGTTGCATGCAGGCCGGCAGTGTGCCATCAACCACACCTTTACCAAAGCGGCTATCATGATATACCATTACACTAATGACGTGAGTGAAATTTCCTAAATCACTCAGGACATCAATCACCTGGATAGCTGGGCGGCTGTTTACCGAATAGCCATGCCCAGTCGCAGATCCGTGGCCAGATTCACTACTCTCGACGCTTTCGGTATCAGCCGTCCTCAAAG